GTGTGCTATTACTATCACTACTAAACTGTTAGACATTGCACTAAAATAACACACAGAACAACACCTTAGTAACTGCATAGCAATACCTTGGTAACCATCCACTACATCCTTGCGTCACAGAAGATTATTCCCAACTGTTTTCTAGTTGAAATCTAGTTGTACGGTAGTTCTGCTGTTATCTGGCACAATGGGCTAACATACACCACCAATCAAATATAATACTTTTATTCAGCAAGGATGCATTAACTTTCTCAAAAGTGATTGTGAAGACATTTACAGTGTAACAAAAGATTTCTATTTCAAATGAATGCTGCTTTTTAACTTTGTAATCATCAAAGAATTCTGAAAACTGTTGTCAGCATTTATAATCAGAAATGTCTTGAGCAGCCAATCAGCATATTAGAATGATTTCTGAAGGAACATGTGACACTGAAAACTGGAGTAATGATGCTGGAAATCCAGCTTTGCATCAAATAAATAAATTACATTTGAAAATATGTTCAAATAAAAACAGTTACTTTAAATAGTAATAAGTTACTGTTTTTATTAGTTTATTAATTTAATTTTAATCAAATAAATCCAGCTTTGGTGAGCATAAGCGTCTTATATAAGAGTCAAAATACCCTACCAACCCCAAACGTTTGAGCTGTAGTGTAAATAAAATGTAACTAGTAGATGACTAGTAGACTATTTATTGTCCATCAAAAAAGCAGAGGATTTCACATTAAAAAAACACGTTAAAAGACGGTAAAGACCCCTGATGATAACCAATGCTTTTAAGAATCCTGTGAAATTAGGTTAAATGATGGTGGTGCATGAGTGACATTGTGTTTCATTGTGATACTGACATTTTACATGATTTTTTTGTGTCTGTTTGGTATTTTTGGTGCACAGGTTGGGACGAGGTTTGGGATCAAAAGGTGACTATGCGTGTAGAGCTGAAATCATAGAACTAAAACTGTAGACACTTGCAAGATCAACATCGTAGAGCGCACTAATAGATGGCTACTGTATGCTACTGTATGCTATAAGTACACATGAATCTAGCTGGTGTAGAAGGACATTTAGATCAATGGCAGTGCATAACAGCATGGCATGGGGTTGCTAGAGATGGTTATAGAATTAGGATGGAGATAATCTGGTCTAGTGGGATTAGATCAAATTCATGATGTTGCTGATTTTTTATTGATTGTTAAGTGAAGTGTTAAGTGAATAATTTAGACCCTCCAGATTTCCAGAATTATGATCAAGTATGTATAATATAGTCATATAAACAAGACAATATAGTAGTTATGTAACTTTCATTTTCATTAAGTTTTTATTTAATTTAAATGATATCTGTCTACTATGACTGCAAGTTTTGCCGTTTTTCCAGTATCAGTCTTTTAGTTTAAATCCTGATTTTTTTCAGCAGTTTGTTACCTTGTCAAGTATGCTGATTGATTTTTATTGTGCTCAACAAACATAGTTTTGAGTAACAGACATCAAACGATTTAATTTTTTGTTGTACAAAAACATGGCAGATTAAGCAATTTTAAAATATATATCTAATCAATTGGAAGCATCTGAACTGAAACAATTAGAATTTCATTGTTTTCATACGCATTGATTTTTTTTTTTTGCTTTAAATTTGCAGGATAATTATGCCATTTTTGGTATCATTGATATTAAATTCTAATCTTAACAAAAGCAAACTTCTTTAAACAGTGTTTTATGGGTCTTAAAAGGCCTTAGTTCACCATTTCACAAATTAAGGTCTTAAATTGGAGCAGAAAGTCTTAAATGTATAATATCATGGCATTAAATCTTCCTCAGTGCTTTTGTCTTGTTTTTAAATACAAATATCTAAACATAATTAAATCAAGAAACATTTCCTAGAGATGCAAACTGAACATATGAAGTTCATATACATTTTTTGTCAAATTAATTAAAAAGTAACGGAGATTGTATTTTCAAACTTTAAAGTGTTGCTAATACAACCTTTTTGAGAACATATTGATGTATTGTGTTCCCTGCAATGTATTACATCATTTTCTGTACTTGGTCCTAACAAGTCTTAACTATACCTTCATAAAACCTGCAGAAAGTGGTTAAGTTGTATTTAAAACACTGTTCCAAAACATTTCAACCCAAATGTTCTGACTCACAGAGTGTAAGTAGGTTTTTTATATTTAAAGAATTTGCCACTAATGATTCAAACGCGAGTTTTGAGCAGTGTAGAGTAACACTTGTTTGTCGTTTCTCCAGACATGGTTTTATGTTTACGCAGCGCGATACGCAACGCAAAAAAGACAGTATAAGTCATTATAATCAGTAATTATGTCCCCACTGGATGCAACAAATGCCTCGTTTGTAATGGGTTTTATTGTTTTGTGTCGCTCCGGTTGGGACAGGGCATCATCACAGTATGGTAGGGGCGTAATAGAAATTCCAAAATGACATTTCCCTTACACTCAACTTCCAAAAGTGCATTCATCTTTGCCATGTTACATTCATTTAGTTGACTAGTGCTATACGATGTATTAACAAAAACATAAATGGCATAAAAAAAACACTTACACTGACAAGCTACTCAATATCGCGTTCATAATCGAATGCGACTCATCTGCGATTATGAACGCGATATAGCAGTGATCTATGGCTCTGTGTATTAAATGCCGCTCCATCTGAAAGCACGTGATGGAGATTTACGACTAATCACAGAACCGGCTTTACTGAGGAGATGCGCATGACAATCACATGCGATTTATCGTGCAGCCCTAATTTTTTTGTTTGTTTGTTGATCACAAAGTACAAAATAGATGAGGAAAACTAGGATGCCGGGTGTATTCAAAGCGCCACCATGCGCTGTGATTGGTTGAGCGGATATATCGCAGTCTGCAGAAAAGGGAGACTGGCGTTTGTCGCGGTTTGGAAAAAAAGGGAGAAAACATGACAGAATAACTCGGCGGATATCTCCGCTCACTCAAGGCCGCGGTGTGTGACGCTGTTTCGTTGTGAAAGCGAAACTACTTTGTTTGGCCTTCCAAAAGAGGACACGACTAGAAATCAGTGGTTAAGTTGTATTTACAACACTGTTCCAGAACACTTCAACCCAAATGTTCTGACTCACAGACTGTAAGTAGGTTTTTTATATTTAAAGAATTTGCCACTGATGATTCAAACGTGAGTTTTGAGCAGTGCAGAGTAACACTTGTTTGTCGTTTCTCCAGACATGGTTTTATGTTTACGCAGCACGATACGCAACACATAAAAAGACAGTATAAGTCATTATAATCAGTAATTATATCCCCACTGGATGCAACAAATGCCTTGTTTGTAATGGGTTTTAATGTTTTGTGTCGCTCCATTCGGGACAGGGCATCATCACAGTATGGTAGGGGCGTAACATTTCCATCGCACGCTTGAGGTATTCGGCCAATCACAACGCACTGGATAGCTGGCCAATCAGAGAACACCTCGCTTTTCAGACCAATGAACTTTGTAAAAATCGACGCGGTTCAGAAAGGCGGGGCATAGAGGAGAAACAATAATGTACAATATGTGGAAAATAATGTTTTAATAATGTGTTTTTTGAACCTTAAACCGCAAAAACACATTTCATTACACCAAATACACAAACGAATGTTCTTTTTAGCAGCATCATATGACCCCTTTAAAGAAAACAGTGACTGAGATTAAACAAATCTGCTAGATCAATAATTTCAATCTTTGCAGTTTAATGTCCTGAATAACGGGTTATTTGTTCATCTAATGATTACATTATACATGTTAGAAGTGTTAACATCAGTAAATCCTTGGGAAACACGGACAGGCCTGTTTGTTAAACAGCTGTGAGTAGATTTTGAGAATATTTATGAAATACTATCTTTGTCTCTCAGATTCCGTAAATACATGACGTTTCTGCTAAGTCATGCCTCTTATTCCCTCTCGAGATTCAAAGAAGCTTTATTCACATGCTAAACAAATCTCTCTCTCGCTCTCTCTCTCAGATTGACCCTAAGGTGGCCTTCCCACGCAGAGCTCAGCCGAAGGTGAGTGCTAAGTCTCCGTTCAGGTTAACATCACACACGTCACTTCTCATTAAGGACACGCAGGTTCTGTTCTGAAACCTAGTGAGTGTTTTAAAGCCCCATAGGTGTTTTCTCGATGTGACAGCTCTGACAAACTGTAGGCAGCATAATTCTGAAGATCCTTCTTTTTCACCATATCGCATAGAAGTGAAATACATTCAATCAGTTATAGCTCCAAAAAGAATTCAACGGGTCATCTTGTTAATGCTATAAATTAATTACAACAATAAAATAACATTTCATCATGAACATACATGAACGTTATCACGTTAAACCACAGAAATTCCAAAATGACATTTCCCTTACATTCAACTTCCAAAAGTGCATTCATCTTTGCCATGTTACATTCATTTAGTTGACTAGTGCTATACGATGTATTAACAAAAACATAAATGGCATAAAAAAAAACACTTACACTGACAAGCTACTCAATATCGCGTTCATAATCGAATGCGACTCATCTGCGATTATGAACGCGATATAGCAGTGATCTATGGCTCTGTGTATTAAATGCCGCTCCATCTGAAAGCACGTGATGGAGATTTACTACTAATCACAGAACCGGCTTTACTGAGGAGATGCGCATGACAATCACATGCGATTTATCGTGCAGCCCTAATTTTTTTGTTTGTTTGTTGATCACAAAGTACAAAATAGATGAGGAAAACTAGGATGCCGGGTGTATTCAAAGAGCCACCATGCGCTGTGATTGGTTGAGCGGATATATCGCAGTCTGCAGAAAAGGGAGACTGGCGTTTGTCGCGGTTTGGAAAAAAAGGGAGAAAACATGACAGAATAACTCGGCAAATATCACATTTTGAGTAAAATAAAAAATTGACTTTTCAATATCGACCAGATACAATACTGATTTTGGCTGAGTTTATCGCGTTTTGGAACCAAACTCTTCATATGTATTTAAATAGCACCCTAGTTTTCTTGTTGAAAATCGTGTTGATGCACTTGATTATTTCATCGTCTCATTATTTGCCTTTTTTTCTTGTGTTTTCAGCTGGTAACAAGAACAAAGAAGATCTTTGTTGGAGGATTGTCTGTCAACACCACTATCGAAGATGTGAAACAGTATTTCGATCAATTTGGAAAGGTGAGTTCAAGGGGCATATTCTACACTAGGATGAATTTCTTTCATAATTGAATCTAGTTTTTCATTACCACACTGAGAAGGTTTCAAAAGCAATTTTCACTCAGAAATTGCTAGCAAATTTCTCAAACAATTACAGAAACTGCAAGTAACACATTGAAACAGTCAGTTTTTGCTGCTGTACCTTTAAGACTTACATATGACAGTCATACTTTTGGCCAGATAAGCAGGTCAAGTTTCTGAATACCGAATAGGTGTTTTTTAAATATGGGCGGTCATATGTTAATGAGCTTGTGGTTGTGATGTCAGTAGCATCTTAGCTTCTATAAACGTCTGTAAATGTTAGAGTATGTTTACATAGTACAACTTTTAAAAGAACCAGAAAAATATAGTAGTGTCACCCAACAATGTGCTCTTGATGGCGGTGCGTTCTTTAACATTTAAAATTTTCGAAAAGGTCACATAAATTTGTCTGTGTGTTTTGATGCACACATGATATCTCTTTTATTCTCCGCCTGTCTCCACTTGTTCCATTTGTTACTGTCAAATTTGGTGTCGGTGGTAAAGAATTGAAGATGGAGTCCTTGTGTAGCAAGAAAAAAAGCTTTTTCTTTTGTGTGAGAGTGGCTTGCTGAGCTGAATAGTAGACAGCAGGGACTAAAGAAAGAGAAGAGCGTATGAGTAGAGGCAGGAGATGAGTGAGGGAGGCCGTGTCACCTCCTGTGGGTCGAGGGCACGAGAAGGGGAAGGCCTTTCAAAAGAGGAGAAAGAGTAAGATACGCAGTACAAAAGGAAGTTTTAGAAGTGGGTGTCCTATAAATTTGTTCTAAACTAACCAGAACTATTGGAACAACAAGTAAAAAGGGGACCGTTGGGACCGTTTCCTGTTAAATGTTTATGGGTGAATTACTGTAAAAAAAATACAGTAAAAACAGTGATATTGTGAATTATTATTACAATTTTAAATAGCTGTTTTCTATTTGAACTTATATTTTAAAATGTAATTTATTTCTGTGATCAAAGCTGAATTTTCAGCATCATTACTTCAGTCTTCAGTGTCACATGATCTTCAGAAATCATTCTAATATGCTGATTTGCTGCTCAAGACGCATTTCTTATTATTGTCAATGTTGAAAACAGTCATGCTGCATAATACTTTTTTGATGAATAGAAAGTTAAAAAGAAAAGCATTTATTTGAAATATGAATCTTTGGTAATATTATAAATGTATTTACTGCCACTTTTGATCAATTGAATGGATCCTTGCTGAAAAAATAAATAAATATATTAATAATAATTTTAAATGATTATTTTAAATTGTAATATTTCACAATATTACTGTTTTTACTGTATTTTTGATCAAATAAATGCAGCCTTGGTGTGCATACGTGACTTTTAATGTTTCCAAAACAATTAAAAATCTTACTGACCCCCAGCTTTTGCATGGTAGTGTAAATAGGCTCAGTTTGCTTTTATATTGCCTTTAACACATTCATTTCTTGTGTTGAAATGATGTAAAAACATTCTTTAAAAGTTCTTTGTTTTTCATGTTGTAATGATCATTTTGCCTTTAAAAACATAAAAGACCACTTCAGGGTTTATCAAGGCTGTGATTCGATCAAAACGTGAGGTACTGTTTAGATGAAACATACTTCGAAGACACTTCAGGTAGTCCCTCAATGCAGAGTCACCCTTATATGAAGTGACACTCACTGCAGTGAATCCTGTAAAGGTATGAACGAGAGAATGGAGCGACAGAGAGCGAGTGAGGGTGTGAAGGTGCTGTTGGTAAAGGGGGAGGGTCTCCCGAATCTTAACTGATCTGATGCTACAGCTGCTGCCCCCCCCCACCCTCTCAAGCTTGTTTCCACGGTGACCTGCTGGGCCTATTGTCTCCGCACACATCTCAATGTGACACTGAGTGCATGTGGGCTCTTTTTTTCAAATATGTAAATGCACATGTGGATTCGGTGGTGCACGCACTCACAAACACATATTAGTGGGTGTCAGCAGCTTGTGCACCTGTTGGCCTGCTGGGATAGACTTTATAAGGCACTGATAAAAGTTTAAAGACAACATGAAATCAGTATTTCCCTATTTATACTCAAAAAGTTTGTAATAATTAAGATTTTTTTTTAAATGTGTTTGTAAGTAGTCTCTTATGCTGATGTAAGACAATTTTGGGAGGCAATTATCCAGAAATATTTTGACGACAGACTTTACTCGGGCATTTAAGAATGACCATAACAACATTTCAGATGCTGTGCAACGAGATCGGTCCACTGGTTAGTCCAGGTAACCCGTCCCATAGAGCAAAGTCACATGACTTTTTTGATGCACATGGAGGATTTTATTCGGTAAATGTGTTTAGTTTATGCATATTTTTTTTTTACTGTATTTTGATCAAATAAATGCAACTTTTTAGGGGCGTCGAAATTAATAGTTTCTTCGATGCATCGCGATGCAGACGAGGACAATTCTTAATATGCTGATTTGGTGCTCAATTATTATTGGTGTTCTATTATTAATAATAGTAGTATTAATAATTTTCTTGTTCTTATGATTATCAATGTTGGAAAAAATTTTTTCAGGATTCTCAGGCTACGTCCACACGAAGCCAGAGCTTTCCCTATCCCTATCTCAAAAATATCTGCATCCACATGAAACCACAAAACCGACACAAAACGATGTAGTATACATGCCAGACCAGTATATAGACAGATATACACTAAAAAGGGAGAAGAAGACTTGGACTATGCGCATAAACCTTGCGCGCGGTATACAAACGAACATGGAACAATAAATTTATTAATCTGTGTTAATGTAACTTAATAAAAAGACAATCGTTCAGTGTTTGTTCATGTTTTTGTTGCTGTTACGTGACGTAGGACTAGGGCCAAGACGTGGGCTGATGATGTCATCGTTTCAGAAAATATACGGATTCGCTGTCCACCCAAAAACACAAGTCGAAATTAATAGTTTCTTCGATGCATCGCGATGCAGACGAGGACAATTCGGTATCGGTTCAGTAATAGACCATAACCGATTATAATGTACTGACGCATTTCTGACGTCATTTGTCACATACGTGATTTGTCGAACAACGTGGTGTGGTGTGAACAACCTGAGCACGACCTGGAGAAGACACACGCTGTGTGTAAATTATGTCACGCACAATGAAATATGTCATTTTGACTGGACAGAAAGTGAAGCTTCATTTGTCATTGGTCACATGATTTCTATGACAATTATCAACACAACACAAGCTTCGAATCGAGGCTTCATCTGGCACACCCATTTATTCTCGACACAAGCTCCGATGCCTTGGTTCAAATGTCACATCACTAGCAGGGGGTAATACCACTAACTTAAGAAACCAGGTCAGGTACAGTTCATATATCTGACTGCTTGTATTTATTGACAATATTGTATAAATGTGAAGTAAAATTGAAAATTGAGGATGCACACGATACAAAATGTATGCGTATACAGCTAAACGCGTCTCCGTGTGGACTGGGCCTTAGATGAATAGAAAGTTCAAAAGAACAGCATTTAAAAAAAAAAAATCTAACATTTTATTTTTTTTGTAACATTGTAAAAGTTTTTACGGTCACATTTTATCAGTTTAATGCATTTAAATTATATTATCATTAACCCTATTATCCCTAACTGTTTTCAACATTGATAATAATCCGACATATTTCTTGAGCAGCGAATCAGCATATTAGAATGATTTCTGAAGGATCATGTGACACTGAAAACTGGAGTAATGATGCTGAAAAATAACAAAATATCCCATAGACAGAAGTGAAATGTGTTGCAAATGCCATTTTGGGTGTTCAAACACAGAGTGACATTGTGAAAGCAAGTTTGATTTCTTTTAGACAAATTTAAACTTTACAAAGAAGAGATTTGTTGGATCGGTATCAAAAACACGCTGCACATGCACTCGCACAATCTGGCCGTCTGAGCCCGTCCGGGAAAACTCGCTGCCCTAGAATGTCCTGATCTGTTAGGCACAATCCAAAAGGGTTGGAATATGTTCAGCCTCACAAAAGCGAAGTACAGTGAGAGTCCAAGCGCTCTGACCCACAACAATGGATATAATGAAACATCGAGAGGAAGAGGACTGGTGGAACGGACATGAGAGGTGTCGATTAGAGAGCTTCACTGGGCCTTTTGTCCGCTGGCCTGTTTAAAAGGAGAGCGAGAGATGAGGAAAGCATAAAAATCTAGTTTTATCAGATCTTACCCTCTTCTTGTTTAATAAAACAGAAACGGGACACTTGCCATTGCATCCCTGAGTGGATTTTTGAGAGGACAGAGAGAGAGAGAGAGTTTTGTTTTTGAGATGATTATAGACTAAATAACTTAGTTTGATAAGTTGATAATACGTTTGTTCTGTCTGCTTATCCATGATGGTGCAAACAAACATGTCTTCAGAAATCTCTAACATTTCTGTTTTAATTTGTCTCAAAGCTCTCGATTTAACATGTAAAATGATTTTAGGTTGTGTTATAGCTGTCATCTTTAAAGCATTGTCTTCTTAAACTTTAATTTTTTTACTATTCACTTCCTTCCTTCCTTACATATATATTTATTTATTTTAAGTAGTTTGTTAGTTAGTAAGTTTAAAAGAGCAGCATTTATTTGAAATTGAAATTCATTTGTAACATTAGAAATGTCTTTACTGTCGCTTTTGGTCAATTTAATGCATCCATGATGCATAAAAATATTAATTTCTTGCAAAACAAAAACAACAACAACTAAATAACTAATTTCCCAAACCCCAAAATTTCAAATGGCACAAATACAAAATGAAACAATATTAAAATTATGTTTTGTATGTTTCTATTTCATTATATTATTATTATACTGTAATTATTTTTGTTATTATTATTTTAATTTTTTATAGTTTATTATGTTTAGTTTATTTAGTATATATATGTATATATGTATATATGTATATATATATATATATATATATATATATATATACACACACACTCTCTCTCTATCTCCCGCTATGAAGTATATATATATATATATATTAGGGCTGTCAGTCAATTAACATTTCTGTCAGGACCACTATCGTCAAAGATGATTGACAATTAGCATACAGTTTGGATTGGCGGTATGGTTTTGTTCTGGACAAGAACTCTCTGCGCATCCATGCAGCCTAGCATGGATGAGAGCAGGGAGAGGAGCAATAACACCCTAAGGGTGAACAGAACCAACATAAATGTATGCAGATATCGTTAAATTCAATAATGTTATGTACACATTTTAGAATTAGTCTGATTCAAGGAGAATCAGAAGGCTGAATCCTGACTAACAGAGGAGGAGTTGGGGATGGAGGAGGGTAATTAGCTATTGAGCAATGCGAAAACTGCTGATACTACTGCGGGACCTTATATATGAATGCTTAGATAGGTGTCGTATTCCCATAGGTTGATGGGGATCAGCTGAGAGTCAGCTGATGCGAGCTTGATTAATGTGACCGGACAGAACTAACGCTACGCTTGATTTTTTATCTAATTAATTACATGATGTGTCGATTAATTAATCTAATTAATCGCAAAATAAATTTGACTGAAAATACCCACAAAAGATTATTTAAAGCTATTTTTGTGTTAAATTAGAAAGTATCAAGTAGACATTACACATGGTAGCTTTAGAAATAAATATTTTATTTGATTCAACATAAAATTAATTACACATAAACTTTTAGGCTACAACCTCCTAACATAAACTTTGGAACATAAAATAAGATAATTTGAGAAACATCTCAGTATTTTTTTGTTCATACAATGAAAGTCATTGGTAACTAAATCAGCTTTGTTACCAACAGTCTTAGAAATACCTTCTTTTATGTTACACAAAAGAAAAGTTTGAAACGACATGACGGTGAGTAAATGATGACAGAATTTGAATAGTTTTGGGTGAACTATCACTTTAATGTTTTCTTCTTCTTCTTCTTCTTTTTTTTTTTTATTAAATTATACTCTAAATAAGAAACTAAATCTACCAGCAGGTGGCGGTAAATGTCTTTATGAGTCTTTCATTCTATTCGTTCAAACGGCTGATTCATTCAGGAATTCAGTAAACGGCTCTCTTTATGAATGGGACTTTGAATCATTTGAATTCACATGATTCGTTCAAAATGCGGATTCATCCAGAAACTAAACACCGCTGTAGCCTATTGCTCGGAGATGCTCAACAATTCTGCTGTGGTAATATGTTCTCTGCAAAATTGAGCAAAAGCACATAATATTGTGTTTAAAAAATAACACAATATCAACTTCTTATTTACTGAACTGTTGTACAAAATCACATCTAAACTCGTGATATTCGGGACAAAAGCAGCACTCGTGTGATACTGCTGCTCTCGGTGCTTGTGTGATATCGTATGATATAAATATGAGACAAAAAATCATACAGGGGCATTTTTTGCACCAATGTTTTGAATTTTAGGGCAAAACTGCATTTATGGATTTGTTGCCCTGCATCATATTTGTCAACAGTCAGCTATATAAAATGTAAGATGACGTACCGGTCTGGGGGCGGGGCCAGTGCGTTTACTGCGTTAAAATATTTTAATCACGTTATTTTTTCATAGCTAATTAATTAAGTTATCGCGTTAAACTGACATCCCTAATATATATGTATATATATTTTTTTATTATTATTTACATTTGTTTATTTTAATTTTCTTATTTAAAATTGTATTACTATTATTTTATTATTTACATTTGTAAATTAATTTATTTTATTAATTGATTTATTATTAATTTTTGTCAACTCTCAATCCTTTTTTATGCATTCTCTGTAGGGATGCTATATCTTCGACAATAGCTTCCTACAATAGTGTTTTTTGTTTATTTGTTTGTTTTTTAAATTATGATTTTGCAATCAAGTTATGATATGAATTCTTTTTCTAATTTAGATAGTATTTTTTTTTTACATGCCAGTTTACAACCATGATGCTAGTGTGTAGTGAGTGGTTGCTATGCAGTTTCTAGGGTGTTCTGAGCATTGATAGGGTGTTTTAGGTGGTTGCTAGGGCATTGCTGTTGTGCTCTAGTTTGTTGCGAGGACATTTCTAGGGTGTTCTGGGTTCTTTCTTACAAGTCCAAATGAAAAGAATCTCTGAAGATGTTTTGGTCTCTAAATGACTTTCTCTTTCACTTATTTTTACATTGTTTGTAACAAACAGAAGCATCACACTGGTCATTTTTCACATCATGCTAAAGCTCACAGCAGCTGTCGGCCCTCTGTCTTCTCCTGACTTTGCAGTGTCATTGGATTTGGAAGATGGGGAGGGTGTGTGTGTGTGGGATTGACTCAATGAAAGTTTCAATAGGAGGGGTGCAGGAGAGGGTTATAATTAAATGTCAGAGTCTAAGAGTGTGTGTTTGACAGCGGCTCATCCGGGCTAAGAGTGTTTGACCTTTCCCATGGTAATTTAACCAGGTGGCACTGAAAAGCGCTAACCGGTCACATAAATGTGGCCTGCCACGTGACTCTCAAGTGCTTCGACTGGTGCCGTCCAACAGCTCTCACACAGACTGAAGTGACAGTATAATCCTGAAGAGCGGGCCATCGCTAAATAATGAGGCCTCAGATCTGGAGAAGAGACGGTTTACAGTTGCTTCACGATGCTCGTGTTACAGGTTGTGTTGAGTTTCATCAAACGGTTGAAAGCGGGACTGAACCGCGAACAGATTCACACGCTCATCAACTGTGGTGAACAAAAGCAAAGATTTACCACAATTAAGGTGTGGCGTTAAGCTGGATGCAAAGATGTCAATATTGGATTTTTAAAAAAATAATATTAGTATAATTTATTAATATTGGTTTCATATATATATATATACACACACACACACACACACACACACATATAGTAATATATCAATAAATATTTATATGTAGTTAAATTATTTGTAAAATAAATTAATTTGTATATTATTATTATAAAGTTTATAAATATCTAATTAATTTATATAATTACATTTATAATTAAATAAATAGATATGCATTTAATATATTGTAAAAATGTAACATATCAATATATATGTATGTATATATATATATATATATATATATAATTATTTTTTAGAAAGTTTATAATTATATAAATGATACACACACACACACACACACACATATATATTATAGTATAACATATATATATATATATAATAATTTTTTTGAAAGTTTATAATTATATAAATGATACACACACACACACGCACACACATATATATTATAGTATAACATATATATATATATATAATAATTTTTTTGAAAGTTTATAATTATATAAATGACACACACACACACACACACACACACACATATATTGTTATGTACATTTTTGCTTCATCACTGAAAACATATCCGTCTCTCTTGTCAAAGTTTATTTGTCCAGTACTATTCGTTGCAACCATTATTCAGCTCCTCGTCTCTCGCTCTCTGTTCTATTCATGAAAGGAGAAGCGAGGGAGGGGGTCAGTTCTTCTAATTGAAATTCTTTGCAGAGTCTCCATGGGAATAGTAAACTTTGGAGAAGGTTTGAAGAGAAAGGGGGAACAGGACAGAGAGAGTTATTGAAAAGATTCTCCTCACAAACTCTGAAGGCGGGAGGGATTGAAATGAGAGATGTTCATGTAAACCATGACCAGTGGACATGGACGTCCGTTTAATGAGAGAGAGGGATATGTGTTTGCACTTCTGTTTCATTTCTGAGCCGGTTTCTCTGTTGTATTCTCCACAAACTATTTTCTTAGGGTTGCATGGAAAACCTAGAAATGTCAGGGAATTTGAAGGCAAAGTCTGAAAAAGTTCAAAGTCTCGAAAAGTCATATAGCGAATATTAATTTATTAATTATATTAATTAATTTATAACTAATTAGTCTTGGCTCTAAAATATTTTATTAGCTTGAATTGCTTCTTGCTTGTGCAATCTGTAACATATATATACTTTTTTTAATGAGATGTATTAGTTTATTTCACTTTAAAATATTTTATCAGTTTGAATTGTTTATTTATGTGAATCTCTGTAAAAAAATTTTTTTTTGAAATTGTGTAAAAATGTGTAATGAGTAGAAATAGTGTAAATAATGGAAATCATGGACATTTCTATGGTCAATATTTATACTTTGCTCTAAAATATTTAATCAGTTTGAAATGCTGCTTGTGTGTAAATCAGTGTAAAATTAGTATTATTATTATTATTATTATTACACAACAGGATATCAGGGAATTTTAAGACCTGGAAATGTCGTGGAAATTTTTATAGTCAGTATGAAATTGTCTAGTTATACTCTGCTTTAAAATATTTCATCAGCTTAATTTCTTTCTTGTGTTTGAATTTCTATAAAAATAAAATAAAAAATGTAATCATATAATCATGCGCACCAGGATATCAGGTAATTTTAAGACTTGGAAAAGTCATGGAAATTTCTAGTCAATATTCATTTCTAATTAATTTCTTGTAATTACAGAAATCATGGAAATTAATTGGACAAAATGAGTGCACCAGTTTCCATCATTAAAAATGTATGTGCAAATTAAATCAAGCATTTAAATTAAGCATTTTGAAGTACCACAAAGAACTTATATTTTGTACCACAGACACTCTTTTAGTTTGCCATTTGATGTCCAGTGTGACATCTGTGTCTTGAAGCAAACCCAGTTGTGAACCGCTGATCTTATGAAACATCAAGAAAAACAAAGAGGGCTGTTTGCTGAAGCTGAGGTGCTTCAAAGTGTTCACAGCCATCGCTTTCTCCTCTTTTATGTCAGCCCCTTTCTTTTGCTTCCATCCATGTTCTCTTTCTTCTCTTTCTCTCTGTCCATCTCTCTCTCTGTTCCCCCTCCCCGCTCGGCCCCTCCATCTGCTGCCCTTCTCTGTTTCTCCAGAGCCTCACAATAGAGCCTCATGCTGGGTAATGGCTTAGAGTGTCTCATCCTTCTCTTTTGTGTGTGTGTGTTTTGTCTGCAGGTTGATGACGCGATGCTAATGTTCGACAAAACCACCAACAGGCACAGAGGTAAGGCAGCATTCAGGCACGCACACACGCAAATGCACACACTCACATTCAAAGCCTCATTGAGTCATATAATTATACAACAACAGTCAAGTGTCTACATGCTTCTACACTCATTCAGGAGCTGATGTTAGAGCTCTTCTCTTCTCTTCTTGAACTTAAGGAATATTTTACTGCTCATCCATAACTCAAGAAAAGTAATGGAGTTCTCATTTATACTTGAGCTTCTGTATCAACAACATCATCTCAGCCATTTCTCCTAAAACTCTGAAAATGAAAATCCATATATGATAAAAGACTGACTCTTCTCTGCTCCTCACAGTCTCATGTAATCTCTGTTCAGAGGCATTGCTAAAGTTCATATAGGTTAATATGGGTTTGGTGTTGCTGAGCTGGTTAGTGGTTCAGAGGTTAAACCGTCATTCACTTTGGCAAGGAAAGTCTGATTGACAGCCGGTGGGCGGAGCCTGTAGTGAGTGACAGATGAGTGGGCGGGATTGAGTAGCACAGGTAAATGAAGCAGGTGAGGAGCTAATCTCCTGACAGAATGGACTGAATATATGAACAGATGTAAACAGAACAAAAGAGAGAGAATGAGAAAGGAAAGGGGAAAGGTCATGCCAGGATTTGATCGAACACAACTGATAAACACATTAGATTCGATGTTTGAAAGCAATGCTATGTTTGTGATTGGTAAAGAGTGCATGTGTGTTCTTGCTCTGCAGGTTTTGGCTTTGTGACCTTTGAGAATGAAGACGTGGTGGAAAAGGTCTGCGAGATCCACTTTCACGAGATCAACAACAAGATGGTGAGAGTGTGTTCTGCTATGAAACGCTGTCTGTGTGTGTGACAGCGTGTTTGATAGGTTCATGATACCTGTTTCTCCTAAAATTCTTTGTAAAACAAAAATCCATATGTAACATAAAAGACTGGAAAATCCAAAATATGCATTAGCACATTTTATATATGGAATATTTAACGGTAAAATATATTTAAAATAGAAATAAATAAAATAAAATAATATATATAGGAAATATATTAGCAAAAAATATGCATATATAATATATATAATAACTTCAATAACTTGCTGAGATATTAAAGAAATCTCCTTTGTCTTTACTTGAGGAATATTTTACTGCTCAAATGGACTTAATGGAGTTTCTTAGTTCTTAGACATTTAAGTATCAAGTTTGTCTCAAATGCGAAAATTCTTTAAAAAAAAAAAATTGAAACAAAGGATCAAAAAGTCTTTATATCTCATCTCATCTCTTTTCTTCTTGTACTTGAGGAATATTTCACTGCTCAAAAGTTGCTCATTTATATAATTTTTTTACTTATTCTTCAGTATCAACTTAGTCTCAAGAATTAAAAATAAAATAAAAATAATATATTTTCTTACTAATTTCACTGTCAGTTTTGTGCTTAAAAAGTTTGAAACAAGTCTCAATTGTTGTCTAGCGATAACTAGAATAGAGATCTCATTTGTGATTTTGAAGGTGGAGTGCAAAAAGGCGCAGCCGAAGGAAGTGATGTCACCGATAGGTACGGCACGAGGCCGCTCCAGGGTGATGCCCTACGGCATGGACGCCTTCATGCTGGGTATCGGCATGCTGGGTGAGTTGAAAGCTGGAAAAAGCAAATAATCTCAGTGAACACTTCAATATGAGCAAACCCAGCATCAGTGCAGCGCTGCAGTCCCGTCTGATGAGAGTCTGCCGCTGCCTGCTGTTTACAATGGAGAACTGCACTCGTGTCTGCGTGTTTATGAGACACAAATCAGAGATGAGAACAGAGAAACAGGGGGGAAAAAATTTAGAAAAATTAGTAGAATTACTGCCATTCTGTGGGTGGGGTGAATTTACAAAATAAACATTGCAAAATACATCAAATACCAATATAATAGTTAAAACGGGTGTTTTTATTTTATTTATATTAACAATGAATAATTTAGCAGACACTAAGGCAAATGCAATAATTATGAATAATAATGAAATAAAATAAATAATATTGAAAAGGATTAATTTATAATTTAAGTTAATTTATTGATCTAATGCAACAGACAATAAGTGCCAAATATCTCATTTCCATTAGAAGAAAAGAGAGGCTGTTTTCTTCTTATTTGTGTTTAATACATTTTAAATCAATTGTAAGCTCATTTTATTTCTTGCTTTTTGTTTTTATTTCTCATACATCTGTTAGGATTATTTTATGTTCTAAAGCATTTACTAATCTTAGTTAATGCTAATCTCAGCATTTACTAATACATTATTAACATCAAAATATGTTAACATTAGTTAGTGCACTGTGAACTAACATGAACAATTTTATTAACTAACATTAACAGAGGTTAATAACTGCTGTAATTATTAGTTCATGTTAGTTAAAGCACTAGCTAATGTTAACAAATGAGACCTTATTGCAAAGTGTCACCAAATAATCCTGAATTGCCTTAAACACTATGCTTTCTCTATTCATTTTCAGGTTACCCAGGGTTCCAGGCGGCCACTTACGCCAGTCGTGGCTACACAGGAATCACACCGGGATACACATACCAGTTCCCAGGTAAGTCCAACTTCCCTTGTTTCCATCTGTAGAGAACTTTTTCAGATCCAGTCATCCACTGCATCCATTTGATCCCTTACAAGAAAGGAACACTTTTTACACTTATCTGATAACTGCACATTTGTTGAAGTGGATTTGATCAAAACACACTCACAAAGACAGTAGTTTTTAAAGCTGCATGTGGATTTCACAGGTATAGTTGATGCTTTTTGCCATGCGACCCAACATTTTTAGAGAAAATACATATTTTTCTCTGTTCTCAGCACTACTCAGACTGTAATTGTTTCTCAGGTGACGTCACGTCAGTAAAAAAAAAACATTTGCATGGTTCCTCTGTGATAAAACTCGAACAGGGCACGAGAGACGCTGTCAGACAAACCAGAAAGTAGGAATTACACTTGATCAGTAACATGACCTTCAAAATGGCATTGACAATAGTTGACCTGTCGCTGCCAATAGGCCAATTTGATTATGCTTTCAGCTACAACCTGTAAATGCTGAAAATATATTGTGTCCTATTTGTCCAAATAAGGCTACTGAAAATCTATGCTAAATACCAATGGTTCCCAACCCTGGTCCTGGAGGCACCCCAACACTGCACATTTTGCATGTCTCCTTTCTCTGACACACCAATTTCAGGTCTTGGAGTCTCTACTAATGAGCTGATGTCCTGAATCAGGTGTGTTTGATTAAGGAGACATACAAAACGTGCCGTGTTGGGGTGCCTCCAGGACCAGGGTTGGGAACCTCTGCTATATAAATTCCCAATGTATGTATATAATGCCGAAAGAAAGAAAACTGTTAAGAGCATTTTTTATATAAATAAGCACCAGTTAAGCTGTGATACCAAACAGGACCACAGGGAGACGCCAAAAGACCACTAAACCTGCTGCCTTGACCAGACTGTACATGCTACTATACGGATCCATTCAGAATAACTAAACCACTGACCAGCGCATAATCTAAAACACCTTCAGCCGGCATTCATTATAAAACACCCAGACACTGACGCTTTGACTCAGTACTGGCAACATGTCAGAAGTGCCGGTACGCACAAAAAAGTGCCAGTACGCTAAAGACTAAAATATTGATGTGCCGGTACTGCGAACCGGCCACTTCAAGCACTGTATATCATAATACACTTAAAGATGTAAAATTTATTTTAGATTTATTTATGTATTATTTATATGTACTAGGGGTGTAATGGTTAATGTATTTGTCCCGAACCATCACTGTACTGATCGGTTCATGCAATCAGACGACAAATACAGAACTGGTTTTTAGTTTCATTTTGGCCGATCTCTATTCCAGGATTCAACACAAGCTGCATTGCAATCATTTCCCAAAATCTAATTTGTGTGGAATTTTTATGAAGTCTGTAAAGAGGAGAAAATACTGTACCAGGCAGATCAAGCTCACTGTTCGCGAAACTCGAAATATAATAATATAATGACAAATATGTGGGGGTTTATATGAATGTATCTCTGAGAGGAACTGACCATCTTCAAAAATATTGTCATTTTATATGTCATTTTTAGGGATGCCAATAATTAATCGATTAATCTAAAAATGTATTTCCCACAAAAAATCTACAATTTTAAAGAACATTTTATTAAACTTGCAACTTTGCCATTCAGTAGTGTACCATAAAAAAGTATAAATGTAAGCAAACCATTGACGAAATGAAAAACTAAAAGAGTAAAAATGTAAACAAATCTAATAAAAATGAAATAAAATTAAAATAATTACAAAAGTCTGAGAAAATCAGCATGTTCTTAATGTCAATATATCCACATGTTTTGGGCTTCTGTTCATTACAGCTGTGAGTGCAACTACAAAGGGGGAAAACATATGTTTCAATTAACCCCAACAGTTGGGTTTTCACATTAAATAAATGCAATGTTTAGAGTCCACTAAAATCAAGTATAAAATTGTATTATTAAAAGTTATTATTATTAAAAATGTTAAGTATTAAAAGTATTCTTAGAAATGTGTAAACAACAGATTTAAAAAGACAAATGGAGTAGTGAAACTCCAAATGAAATCCAAATCCTTTTTTAAAGCAAAAGTAAAGTGCAACATGGAATGCAAGAAGCAAGTGTCCATCTCATAGTCCAAATCACTGAAATCAAAGTTCAGTATTATAGTGTAAGAATGACAACATGTCCACATGTTCTGGTCTACTAATAATAAAATATTATAATTAATAAT